AACCCAGAAATAAACCCAAATACTTAACAGCCAATTGATCTTTGACAAAGCAAACAAAACATAAAAGTGAGGAAAGGACACCCTATTCAACAAATGGTGCTAGGATAATTGGCAAGCCACATGTAGAAGAATGAAACTGGATCCTCATCTCACTTTATGCAAAAATCAACTCAAGATGGATGAAAGACTTAAATCTAAGAACCAGAGTCATAAAAATTCTGGAAGATAATATCGGAAAACCCCTACTAGACACTGACTTAGGCAAAGACTTCATATGACCAAGAACCCAAAAGCAATTGCAACAAAAACAAAGATAAATAGATGGGACTTAAACTAAAAGGCTTCTGCATAGCAAAAGAATCAGCAGAGTAGACAGATAACCCACAGAGTGGAAGAAAATCCTCTCAAAGTATGCATCTGACAAAGAACTACTATCCAGAATCTACAAGGAACTCAAATCAGCAAGAAAAAAAACAATCCCATCAGAAAGTGGGCTAAGGACATGCATAGACAATTGACAGTTGTCAAAAGAAGATATACAAAAGGCCAACAAGTATATGAAAAAATGCTCAGCATCCCTAATGATCAGGGAACTGCAAATCAAAACTGCAATGTGGTGCCCCCTTACTTCTGCAAGAATGGCCATAATCAAAAAATAATAGATGTTGGTGTAAATGTGGTGAAAAGGGAACACTCCTGCATTGCTGGTGGGAACGTGAACATGAACAATCACTGTGGAAAACAGTGTGGAGATTCATTAAAGAACTGTTAGGTTGGTGAAAAAGTTACTGCAGTTTTTGCCATTAGTTTCAATCAGCAAAATCCACAATTACTTTTGCTCCAACCTAATAAAAGTAGCGCTTTTGGTCCAGCAATCCCACTACCGTCTACCCAGAAAAAAAAAAAAGGAGGGGGGGTCATTATACAAAAAAGATACTTGCACACACGTTTATAGCAGCACAATTTGCAGTTGCAAAAATATGGAACCATCCCAAATGCCCATCAATCAACAAGTATATGTATATACGCCACATTTTCTTTATACACATATATACACACACACTCACACCTACACACACACACCATGGAATACTACTTAGTCGTAAAAAGGAATGGAATAATGGCATTCACAGCAACCTGGATAGAATTGGAGACTCTTATTCTAAGGACTTTGGGAACTTGGGGCCAAGGGTGGGACAGGGGTGAGGGATAGAAGAGTACACATTGGGTACAGTGTACACTGCTTGGGTGACCGATGCACAAAATTTCAGAAATCACCACTAAAGAACTTATCCATGTAACCAAACACCACTTGTTCCTCAAAGACCTATTGAAATAAAAAATAAAATTTAAAAAAATAAAATTTGAAAGCTTAGTAAAATCTAAGAAGGATACACACATACGCATACACATATATATAAATGAAACCATAGATACCTCCTAATTAAACTGAAGAAAATGAAAAATTTATATTCCTTTAGAGTATAAATATACACGTGTGTGTGTGTGTGTGTGTATGAAACCATACCTAGGTACCTCCTGATTAAACTAAAAAGAAAAGTACAAAAGCAACCAGAGGGGGAAAAAAATGTGTTAGGTTCAGGGAAATCATAGTAAGAATGATGCCTTCCTTCTCATAAGAAGTAATGGAATGAAATCATTTTCTAAAAGCAAATGGATATTAACCTAGATTTCAATACCCAGGAAAACATTCTTTGTAAATGAATCCCTACTAAAGATTTTTCAGGAAAAAACAAAACATAGTCACCAGCAGACTTACACTACAAAATAACAGGGGGTTAATGATCTCATGTGAAAGCCTGGATCTGTAAGAAGGAATAAAGATAAATATATCGGTTTAAAACAACAATACTGAAAGTGTATTATGGTGTTTATAACATATAGAAGTTAAATACAAGGCAGCAAAAGCCTGAACGGTGGTTGGATAAATGGGGTTAACACTTTTAAGTTGCTTATATTATTCTTGAAGTAGAAAAAATCCTAATTCAAAGTATAGTAAAGTTGTATGTTGTAATCGCTATATTAGCCATTAAAAAATATGAAGAGATGTAGCTAAAAAGCCATCAGAGGACATAAAATGGTAGAGTAAAACTATTTGACTATTCCAAAAGAATATAGAAAAAGGAAGAAAGGAACAAAAAGAAATGCAGTAAGATAGCAAAATGCTAAACTTCAACAAAGCCGTATGAGTAATTGCATTAAATGTAAATAGTCAAATCATTGAAAGGCAGAGATTGTTAGACTGGACAACCTAGCAGTAATGTTTATTGATAGATTGATTCTTTATTCTGCTGACAGACTGCCTTTCTAATTTTTTTCATTTTTATTTGTTGATAGGTCGATTTATTCTACCTATATTCTATATTCCTGAGTTCATTAGGACATATGCAGATTTTAAAATATTTCATAATAACATCAACATTTTAACTATATTCCTTTACAATTATGTTGAATGAACATAACATGTATAATTTAGAGTATAAACAATAGTATTTTTATTTATTACAGATTTACCAGAAAGTAAGTGTATTATTAGTGTTCTCCAGAGAAACAGAACCAGTAGGAAGTCCATAGAGAGAGAAGGTTTACTTTAAGGGATTGGCTCAAACATTGTGGGGGCTGGCAAGACCAAAATCTGCAGGCTAGGCCAACAGGAGGGAGACGTAGGAAAGAGTTGCAGTTCCAGTCCGAGGGCAGCCTGTTGGCAGAATCCCCTCGCTGTCAGGTGAGTTGTCATTTTCTTAAGGCCTTCATCTGATTGAATGAGGCCCACGTACATTATGGAGTATGCTTTACTCAAAGCCTGTTGATTTAAATGTTAATTCCATCCAAGACCTTCAAAGAAATATCTAGAATAATGTTTGATCAAGTATCTGGGAACCATGGCCTACTTAAGTAGAGATATAATGCTATCCATTATAGCAAACTATTTATTATAAGCTTTCAATTATTGTTATACCTTAATAAAAGTGAAATGAGATACAAATAGGTTTTTAAGTAAAATTTACCTAAAATAGGAAGTTATTTTGATACATTTTTTCTAAAGTTTATTCCTTTCTATTTATTTTTTACTGCGAGCTTGAACAAACATGCATAATTGTATCTCCAAATGATATTATTTATATATGTAATCTAAATTTAAAACTAAGATTATAACTTTGGTTAATCCACTTTTTGAAATTCTAATTTTCAAAACATTCTTATCCTAAAATTGAAACTCTAAAATCTGTAGAGTTTTTTTGTTTTTTTTTCTTGTTATCGTATAAACTATGTGTATAGATTTTTTCCTGGTTTACTTTGGTTTTTATTATTTTAAAGTTCCTTTTCTCCAATTGAAATTACTTTCTATTTAGATAAGAATTTAAAAATCGGTAATCAGCCTAGGTCAATTTTATAGCAGTCAGATTACAGTAGCGAGAAGACGTGTGTGAGATGTTGTTAATTGCTGAACTCTGGCATGACCACTCTCATTTGAAAGCCAGTTGCCATGCCACAGTTCTCAGTGGCTGCAGCTAGGATTGTGAGACTGTAGGGGCTGAAAAAGTTGGGATTTCTCAATTTATTCTCTGTATGCTTCTGTATTGTTAAAATCTTACAATAGGAATCTACATTACTTGAGTATTTGCCTGCGTGTTGTACCCTTTGAAAAAAAAAAAATTTACCCAAAACTGGTGTTACTCTATGAAGAAGAGTATCTTTCCATCAAAATTACCTTAAAGATTTTATTACACTTAGGATGAAACTCTGTTAATTTGCTCTGTGGTAGTTCTTCAAAAAAGGATATCCATATTTTACTAGACTCTTGTGGTCAGAAACTGTAATATATTCATCTTTTATCACTGGGTGCCAAGAATAACCACTCAAAAATATTAGTCAATTGAATGAAGGTAGTATAGTGCTTTATACTTCACTGGCTAACAATAAATGTTAAAAAAATTTAATGAAACAAAAACTTACTTTAATTATGTTTCATGATTCATTTTGAAAATACTCTTGCAAAGCGATAGAAAGTGATTGTTTGTGTTGATCTCACTTAATCCTTTACCATACTGTAAGAAAAATGAGTCATATGCTTTTAGAAGAAGAACTAATATTTAAACTAGGAATTTTACTAATTGCTATTAACAGACATTGTAGTTCTTGCCTCTAGTCCTACATATGACAACCTTTAGCATTATTTGAACAAACTGTGTTAATATCCTAAATTATAGGTTAGTTTGTTAGTAGACAGAAATTAGGAATTAAACAAGACCCACACTTGTGTTCATTTTTAACTTGAGTTAGACTTTGAACCAGTGTCTTTACAGATGAGATGTCCTATGTCACGTCCTGAAAGGCTGTTTATTACAAAGAAATGCAGTAGAGAACATTGAGAACAAAAAGATAAATCCACAAATGATAAAAGAATATTTCTCGAGATTAGCCGTCTGTGTTACCATTTTAAAGAAGGGAATCAGGGGAACATTTTTCTTCAGATACTCATGGTGATTGAATAAATAGAGTATGTCATAGTAGGAAGTCAGATGATCAAAGAGAAATTCAGATGGATTTATTTATTCTTTTGAGAAAATAAGACAGTGGTGATTCACTTCATAGCCCTTGTGACACTTCTTTTTAAAAACTTCATATCCTTGAATCAGAAATAAAACTTTCATAGAAGAAAAGCAGCAGAGCCCAGATAATGGTGTGATTTTTGAGCTGACAGCAGGATATGGACGCATCTTGCACTATTGCTAGGCATCACTTGAATGGGAAAAAAGACTTAGCTAACCTTGAGTCAGTTTAGCTAAACTCACCAACTGTTTCTGACCAAAGAATTCATGATACATCTTTAAAGGATCCTGCCTTCCGAGTGAGACTTTTTTCTTGGAAGCTGTGTGAGTCATAATAAATGTTTTTCCACTAAAATGGCATAAATATTTTCAACATGAAATGGACAGGCTTAATAACCAAATATTCACGTTGTTTTCTTTCCACAGGGATTATCAGCATAGGAAGAAAGCCTTGTAACCATCAGGTAGATACAGCACCAACGGTAAGACAGTCTGTTGCTGCATTGTTAAAAGTGTTAAGAAACTACAAAATTATACTGGTTATAGTTACAGTGGCATTGTAGAAAGCTCTTACAACCTCCCTTTTGCCGAAAGTTATATCCCTGCAAGATTGGTTTATATTAATGTTGTTAACTTAGAGATAATTTATAGTTTTGATAATGTAATGTAAATATTTGTACAAATTGATTTTTACCGTTCTAAAAATGATTGTTATTTTGTGCACCAGCATCAGCATCATTATTTAAAGTGAATGTTTTATAATAGTGAAAAAAGGCCATTATGCTTCATTTCTCTTATAGGTTACTTTGCTTTATTATTATAGAACTGAAGTCTTATCTTTTATCCCTCTTCTCAACAAAAGGCATTTAACAATTATAGCATCTATTCACTATATTTAAAAAGTTTTATTAATAAAAGGAAGAGAATTAGATTTCCCTTTTAGTCTCTAAATATAATATTTGTGTGAAACATATATTAGTTGCTAGTTTGCAATTAAAAGACTCATAAGGTGATATGGAGTACACTGTACATTCCCTAGTCCTACTCTTACTTCTTATCCTTTGTATTCATAAGTCTTCCACGTACTTCCTGTGATTCTCCATTTCCTGCTGTGAGAAAGATTTGGTGATATAGGTTGAGTATCCCTTATCCAAAATGCTTGGGACCAGAAGTGTTTTGGATTTTGGTCTTTTTCAAGTTTTGGAACATTTGTGTTACACTTCCTGCATCCCTGAGCCAAAAATTAGAAATCCAAAATGTCCCAATGAACATTTTCTTTGAAAGTCATGTCAATGTTCATAAAGTTTCAGATTTTGGAGGATTTCATATTTCAGGTTTTTGGATTAGGGATATTTAAACTGTACCAATTAAGAAAATAAAGATGGCCGGGTGTGGTGGCTCATGCCTGTAATCCCAGCACTTTGGGAGGCCAAGGCGGGCAGATCACAAGGTCAGGAGATCGAGACCATCCTGGCCAACATGGTGAAACCCTGTCTCTACTAAAATACAAAAAATTAGCTGGGCGTGGTGGTGCACGCCTGTAGTCCCAGCTACTCAGGAGGCTGAGGCAGGGGAATCGCTTGAACCCAGGAGGTGGAGGTTGCTGTGAGCAGAGATTGCGCCACTGCACTCCAGCCTGGCACCAGAGCAAGACGCCATCTCCAAAATAAATAAATAAAGATAATATTAAAGTATTTGAATTGTGTTGATGATTAATATATGCCTCAGTAGCAAATTGACTCTATTTTCTATTTGTAGTAAATCCCTATGGTTGATTTAACATGTTTGATAACTTAATATGTGGGACTCCAGAAAAGACCAGTACATGAGGAATTAGCATACTCATTAAAAAGTGCTTGACTGTAGTATGTATGTTTCAGTTATCCTTTAGTAAATATGCTAAAAGAGTAGCCATAACATGATTATAAATTTTATTCTTTAGTATTAAAAAATTAAAGATGGCAATTAAGAAAAATTTATTATTTTAATATATTTGAATAATATACTCAGTCCTTTTTGATGTATTTTTTTGAGGAAGGATTGGCTGCTCTTCTCCTTCTGTCTCTCTGCTACAAACTAAGGATGTTACTACCTCTCTCCGTGACAGCCTCCCAGCTTGCCAACACTTAATCTTTGCCCTTTCTCCATCACCTCTAAATGGAATCATAAGTCTGTTCATTATTATTACCCAATGCTCTCTGGTCCCAGACCAGAACAGGTAAAGTCTGATTTTCACAGAAATGTAATTTTACCTATTTCCATCCTTGAACCTATATTCTCTTATTTTCTTTAAAGGGCTTAGGAGAAGAAAATGATTAGGATAGGGAGGAAAAAAAGGAGTCTGTCTAAATATGTATCAAAGTAGGATATTTGTAGCCCCAAACTTTGTATTCTGCTGACTCAAAAAGAAGCGATACCGTGATTTAAGTATCTGTTAGAGCCTGAGAAAAAAACAGAAAGGGAGTGAGCCAGGATTTTAGAATAGCTGAGGCTGGGACCCCGAGTGACTTCTCGACCCCAGACTTAACCCTCGATTCCCAGCTTACTTCTTTACCCATTTTCACACCCACATCCTGCTTGTTCCAAGTACTGCCATGAATGGCAGTTCTAGGAGAGTGCTATATGCTAGTTGCAGCCATTAAATGGGTGAGGGAAATGAGCAAATGAGAATTTATGAGACCTCTTTTCAAAGGAAAGATGTTTTTTGTTTTTTGTTTTTTGTTTTTCTCTTTTTGAGACAGTCTCGCTCTGTCGCCCAGGCTGGAGTGCCGTGGCTCAATCTTGGCTCACTGCAATCTCCTCCTCCCAAGTTCAAGCAGTTCTCCTGCCTCAGCCTCCTAGGTAGCTGGTATTACAGGTGTGCACTACCACGCCCAGCTAATTTTTGTATTTTTAGTAGAGACGGGGTTTCACTATGTTGGTCAGGCTGGTCTCAAACTCCTGACCTCGTGATCCGCCCGCCTCGGCCTCTCAAAGTGCTGGGATTACAGGTGTGGGCCACCGCGCCCCGCTGGTATGTTTCTTAACATTCCAAGTTGGAATTCTGAATGAAGTTTACAGTAAATATATGGTTATGGTCAATCAAACTTGAGTTTGATTCTATAGTACTATAATATAATCCAGTGTCCCTTCAGTAAATAAAGATCAGCCTGAGAACAAAGCCACCTCTGTCCCTTTGTTCCATGTCACCTCTCACTCTCTTTTTAATTTACTTGTTTCCTTTTTGTTTTTAATTTACTACATGAACTTTGATTTTTTTTGTTTGGGTTTTTTTTCTTTCTTTCTTACAAATAGTACCATATTTGGTTTTTTGAGATACCTTTAATAGAAAGTGAAAAAAAAATCTCCACATGACATGACATGACACCCCCTCCAGGAAAAAGAATCAAACCTCTATTTTAACTGTCTGTAATCACTTAATTTTTTTTTTTTTTTTTTGGCATGCTGAGCTCTTAATTTTGTTTATACCTCAGAGTACATTTTCTAGTTGTTCTTCAAGAATTAGAAAATGGGAAGTGAATTATCCGAGTCTACATATTTTTAAATACTTGTCAGTTGCCTTTACTATTAGACAGCTTGCCAGGATTTTTAATTACTTGAACATAACCTTTTCTCCTCAAAATATTGTGGAAATTGATTATCTTTGCATTCTGGCATTTAGTATTGCAGAAGAGACATTGGACATCAGACTGCTAGTCATTCTCTTGTGTAAGGAACCTATGTGGCCTGCTCGTATATTATAGATATTGTTTTATTTTCTTTATACCTGATGTCCTGGGTCAGTTTTGATGGTTAAATGTGTGGCTTTCTTCTCACTGATTTTTGTCCTGAATGATATTCATTCAGACACTGTACTATTGATAATAGAAAAAGTAAATAAGACATAAGATAATCATGATGTTAGATTATACGAAAAGATTTACATCGTGCCGCTTTAAGAATTAGTCCCTCTGCACCTGCTTATCGCTTATAGTAAGTTAAGGATAATATCAGCCTCAGATTAATCAGAGGTTATTGTCTGAACCCTAAAAGGCAGGTGTAAAAGTTAGTTAATTGTTAAGTCAGCACAAGTTTGAGTCCTGTATTTACTTTATATGAAGGACTTATTTGCAAACCAAAGGGAAATGGCAACTAGCATAAGGAAGTATTCCCTCAGGAACATAGTTAAAACATATCTACCTTTCAGTGTACAGTCATACGCGTGGCAAATCCCATAGCTTTTCACATTTTCTGGCAGAATTAATATACATGTAAAATACATTGAAACATAATAAGCTATACTGAATATATAATTTCTAATGTCTTGAGGAGTATTGTTTTTGAATCTCTTCCAGTGAAAACTAATATGATAAAATTCAAATGACGTCAATATGGCCTATTCGAATGAATAACTTAAATTTTGTACAACTCCTACATTCCAAAGTTGTAAAACTAATATTAATATTTTTAGTTTTTATTCGATGACCCTGTAACCCCTGGTAGAGAGAACAAAGCTTCTTTTAGCAAATGGATTTTGGGCAGTATATAAAATTACAGCTTGCATTTTCACAGAGGCCTACACATCTATCACAAGAGGTTGAAATAAAATCCAGACTGTCTCATCAGGATTATACCAACTATGAAACACTTGCCATGTGTCTTTGTCTTAAGTATTCTTTTAATTATTAGAATTTAAAGCATCCTAACCTGATCAGAAATTTAAATGTTGATTCATTATTCTTCATATTTATAAGACCAATTTTAAAAGCTATTAATTTATTCCTTCTACAGTTACCCTTCTTCAAAGTTTTCCAAGGGCTAAATGAATTTTTGCCACATGATTTTTCATCAGTAGTAAACTTTAATATGCGCTAGACTTACTTTGTTATTCTGAAATATTTCTGAGATGTTTGTAATGTTGTTTGCCATTAACACTAAACTTATTCATAAATGTATTGATCTGAATCATATAAATTAAATTTTATCCTGAATCTCTTGGATTATATAATATCTATACTTACTCAACAACTGTTGAGTTGTGACTGTTGTAAGATTGTTATCCTTGTTTAGCCCATTCTGTAGATTCATAAGAGTGCCACCTATTGCACTATTACACTTTTGTATACTTTATACATATATTCTTGTAAAATATGGCTGTTTCATATTTTAACATAATAATTGGGACAGCTTATATGTAGATACATGTATGAGTTCAAGTGAAATGTCCTTTATTCAAAGGAAGCACTTTATTTTCTACAATTTATTGCATTTTCCAAGAATTCATAGTATGTAAACTGGGGTGAATGGGCCCCTATAAAACTCATAAAGTAGAACCCATGGCCAATCTCTTCCTGTAGGTAATTGCAGGGTGGAGAGGGAACTAATAAACTATAAGCTTTTATAACTTGTCATAAAAGAACTTGTTTTCACTTATCAATAAAGTAGCAATTCAAAGCAGTTCTATTGAAATGCAAATATAAATGCAAAATATGTTCTCTTTAAC